TACCATTCTTGTATTGCATCCACTTGTTCTCGTTCATCCACCGTTCTTACTGTGTGGCCAGAATAAATATACCAGAAAATTATAGTTCTCCAAGCGAAGCAGTCTGCTAGCTTGGACGGATTTACAAAAGGTGTAATATAGACACTCTATACTGATTTGGAGAGAACATTAACGCTAGCCACGTGGATGGAAATGATGAAGCAGGTGGGTAGGGGAGTGGAAAGGGAGACCGCTAAGAGGTGAGCTCCTATAGGGATATTTTTAAAATTCCAAAAGTGGCAGGCTGGGAATGTTAGAGGTATCACGATAAACTGTTTGCAGTATGGAAGTACATGCACCAGTGTACGCAGTAGTCCGGGGCCGACGAAAGCGAAATGTATCGTTTTCGCAGCCGAAGCTGCTCTACTCGCAGCGCACTGGGCTTACCAGTCCTGACTGCGCTCCGCCTCCGCCTGTACTCCACCCACCGGTGTATTGCCAATAACAGTATCGGATGGTGGCTATCGAGCTAGCGCGTGCAATCGACCCCTTAGTTGATTACCAGCTCGTCCATGGTCGTACATAAGCAAACAATTAAGCGGTCCTTTTTGTGTGTTCCAGAGGGATATCTTTTTTTTCACCAGTGGCGTATTACTCAACATCCCCGCTTTCACAGTAAATTCAACCTGATTTCAGGGTCGTCCCTCCATTTAAGCTTTTAGAAGACCAGCACAAGAATCTTTGCGAATTTCAGCTACGAGAGAAGACAATTACCATTACACTGTCATTACGCATTACATTTTACTGCAACGTTTGCATAAAAGAAAAAGATAACTCTAGTGTCTGTAAGTTATGTTCTGCATCAACAACGACGCTGACAGGGCTAGCAAGGCTCCAGAACACAAATAAAGTTAAAAACTCCTGGGTCTTCAATTACTGTAGCTTCTGGGCCTCGTAACATAACCAGGAATGACAAACCTTGGAATGACGGCTATAAATGATGCTCTGCTGCCTGAAGGAATAAAACAATGCGCTGTGGGTCAGGCATCGATGATCGACCAGCGTCACTTGACAGCAACTCGTAAGCCGTGTTGATTCGCTCGAACATCTCACGACCTTCCGGATTTTTATCAGGATGGTAACGTGCTGCCAATTTGAAGTAGGCACGACGGATCACTGACATGTCCTGCCATCTAAACGATGACAACTCCACATATCTGATTTGTAAACAATGTGTCCATAACTCTGTATCATTATTCAAAAATAAACTTTGCAGTACACAAACTAACCCATCATCCATGGTGTTCAGACCGAGAGTTCTCGTGCTTGTTCAACTGACATCACCGGTGGCTTTTTCTCCAACTCCTCAAACCATGCTGCTAAGCAAGCACGTAGGAAAGGAATCTAAACAGAAGAAGAATTTCACGGGTTGCAATACTGAGTGACGATTCAGGGAGCCATGCGATTTCATCGGTAAAATTAAGGTTCCAGGAAAAAATTATACTTTGTTGACCCGAACGAAGTTATAAAGAAGGTGCGGACGAGGTTGACCAGGGTCAACCGTCACGTTCGAACATTTTCGGGATTTTTGCGACCCCCTAGCTCTCGAGGGGGTCCAGTTGCGACCCCCTGTTTTTGTTAATAAGAGTGCTAGACATGAATCCGTTGCGCCAGAAAGCGTCTGCCTTGGAGCGCGGCAGGTATCACCCGGGCGCTGGAAGAACGGGACGCGGCGAAGAAAAAATTTTAGAGGGGAATAACTTTCTTGGGACGTATTTTTTGACTTGTTGAGGTAGATTTTGATTGTGCCTGAGGTGCGCTTCCAGAAAACTACAAGGATTGCCTAACTCTCCGGAAAGTACTTCTGTTAGAAAGTGGAAACCCAAAATTCTAAGAAGGCGCACCTTCAACTTTGAAGGCCCATAAAATCTTTCGTATGCGACATTTTGGAAATCTGTAAAAAGTTTCAGAAACTTCAAATATTTCTCTAACAAAACAGTATAAAAAGTTTAGTGATTGTCCCCTTTTTCAAAAAATTGTCCCGTTCGAACATTTTTCGTGCAAAAGCGAGTTTTTGGGCTTTCAGCGACCATAACTCACTTCATTTTCATTTCTGTGATGCACTTTTTTCATGGGGTGAAAGTACAGGATTTGCTCTTTCTAACAAGCCCCAAACGTTTTTCACCGAGAAATCACACGGTCCTCGAACTATTCCTATAGGTTTTTGAGCAGCATATGCGAGATTTTGAGCTTTCAGCAATAATAACTTCCTTTAGAGAAATTGCTGTGGAGAGGCGAAGACATTTTAAAGACTACGAAGGTTTCTCTGCATTCTTATGTGTTTACCGTTCTTTGGAAGAATCGTCCTCACAAATTTAGCCCCGAGAAGTCAAACCTTTCATAGGGATGCATTCAACTGTTCTTTATTCCTCAAGGAAAACACCGTAATTTGCCTAAAACTGTCTCTCTGTGCATAATTAATCGAATCTAATGCGGTCTGCACAAACAATTCTTGCCCTCGGATACGCCACGCACGCGCCTGTGGCTGGCAGTCCTCGAAATTGCGACCCCCTTCCGACCAAAATGCGACCCCTTCGTTCGAACAGTTCGAACGGACGGTTGACCCTGGTTCTGACATTTCAGGCTTGTGATACATAATGTTGAAAAACAAATTTTAAAGTATGAGCGCGAAAGAGACTGCACCAAAACAGGTCAGATTATTAAGAAAAAAGAAAAAGCTGTTGTATAACGAAAGCCAAAATAAGGATTAAGTGATGGTTATACGAAAAATTGCAGAAATCAAATTGTCGGTGATAGCTCGAAAGTAAATGTAGTGAAATCGAAAAGAAACAATGAAATCGTCACATCTTACCGGATCCCTAATTTCCCAATCAGGAAATCGTTGCCGATCGCAAAGATGTCGCAGGTAATATACGTAGCAGAACAGTTCATTCTGTAGTTCAGGATAGTCAATTAGTCGGGATCGCTCAGTATGATACAAAGCCTGCAAGATGAACTTCGTATAGTCTATATCGCATGAAAATTCGGTTAGAAAGCCTTTTACCTTCACGTTTGAGGTGAGGCGATTGGAAAAGTCGGAAACGTGCACAGCAATTCGCTCAATAAGATGGCGCCTTAAACAAATAAATTCGAGAATAAAAACGCTAATAAAAAATACCGATCAGAACGGGCACCAATAGAAAAAATTTAGTGGAGAAGGCAAGCAAAAACTGATCAGAAAATTTAATGCTCGTTTCCTCGATAGTCCCTATTTCTTAACAATGTAAACTTTACCTCATCTGGGTACTCCAAATGATCTCCGGATTATCGAACTCTCCCAGGAAGACCTCTGCGTACTTGTCTGGCCCATACTCATCCAGGTAAAAGATGGCTGCAGCTGGGAGCAGCGGGGCAAGAATAGACTGTGACGTTCCCTCCAGTTGAGGCTTCAACAGTAATTACATAGAAATCTAATTAATTCGACAATGAATTCGCTCACTCACCAATGCGGTACGGAATGCTTGCTTCTTATGTGTGTAATGTAAAAACCTAGCAATCGGTAAAACATTAGAACCGTTATACATGAGAATAAAGAAGAATACACCGGATAAATACAATCGAGGAAGGAAAGGATTGTCCTGAAAGTCAGTTGTTTCGACCAATAATTCAGTCCGCGGAAGTAAGAGAGGTTTACCTGCATGACTAAATGCACCAGAGTAGCGACCCGTTGCACAATGCTTGGATCATAAGTCAGCAATAGCTGAACGACTTGATAGAGTAACACCGGTTCCGTGAGACTTTTCTTCACTTGTGGCATAGGACGTACGACACTGTTGTTTTCGTCCCTGTAAACGTTCTCAAAGCGCTCTACAAATGCTCATCAAACTTATAAAAAGCTCCTTGTCTTGAGCTTGAAAGAAAAACGTTCGGTCACTGAAAATCCATACCTGGATGGAAAGAATTCGCACATCTGGATCATGATATCTAGACACAGCGAGCATAACTGCGTGAAGTTGTAGAGCGGCGTGCCAACCTTAAGCAAATGTGATAGGAAGCAGAACAGCATTACTGTCAACACGGTTGAGCAGAGGACGTTGGTGAGCCCTCTTGTGCTTAGGTGACGGATTTGACAGAGACGAGGCAAGCCGCGCTATCCCCTCTTCTTCTTTTGAAGTGGAAAGTAGGCGTGAAAACAAGGAAGGGAGTTGTACTTGTTTACGAGAGTAGGTTGTAGTATCAACCCGTTTCAGTGCCTTAATACAGTTAGTAGGAGGTGCCCTATTAGTTATGAAGTCTCAGGCTTCCTCCTTCGTGAGATCATGGCGTACCACCAAACGTACAGCTTTTTTTTACATCATATGAAAGCAACCAACCGTTTAGTTTCTTTCTTAAATTACAGGATTGGCTTTTTGAGACCCACAAAAGAAATACCCTTTCAAATACTGATGAAGAAAAAATAAAATAACGAACTGTGGAAAAGAAATTTGGTATTTTTCCTAGTGCTTGTAAACCAATTTCGTATCACTTTGCAAGTTGAGAAGAAAAAGTTTGCACCACATAGGGAAGTGCTGAAAACAAGGTTCTGTCACAAGGGTTACATAACTTTCTCGACTGAGAAGCGTTGAAGGAAGATTCTACGATAAGGTTGAAGGTCGAAGACGGGGAAACTTACCCAGTGGAAAACAGGCGAAACCCCTGAGGGCGCGAACCGACATGCGATTCACAACGAAGGATATGCTTCCAAAGGCCTAGCACGGCCGCCCTCGCGGCTCCATGGACGCGACATACAGAACGGCTAGCTAACCACTCGCCGCAGGTCTCTAGCTGTTAAGCAGGGAGAGAGAGAGCGTTAGCGTTGAAGAGGGCAACAGGGGAGAGGTATCACTTAACGGGTTCTGAACCGTTCCTCATAATTTTTTTTGATCCCGGCACAACTGACCTCCTCTACCTTGATTCCTGCTGGGCTGCCCGTTCATGGTGAACTCCGCCTTTGAAGATTGCATTTGAATTCTAACTTACGTAATCCAATCCGTTAATTAGCTCACATAGCGTACTTCCTGTGATTTCCCTTTTAACACTTGCAACAAAAAGAAATTAATGCTATACCTGTTGGTTCCCAAGGCACACAGTCCAACGAAACTGCGGCACCTTACTGAGTGGTTCCCACTTCTCCATTCCTGCTGCCCATACCGCCGTTTTTTCGAATATCTTCTTCTCCCCGTACAAAGTTTTCATCTGGAAAAAAACATTGGAATCTATACATCCGAAGAAATCCATCTAAACTTGTTTAGAATGTTCGTCATTCACCATGACTGACAAAGCACCCATACGCTAGAAGACTGACCTTCTCAAAAGAAAACGGTCCGAGCCGTTCCTTGTTGTTATCACTGGTGGCGTAGTACCACTCAGCGGAATTCCCTTCTGAGAGTTGATCAGCGCTAGCTTCTATTACGTTTGTCTGGAAGTATGATATTAGATACACGGGCGAAAGTAGTTATACAAGTGGTGTTAAGGACCGAGCGCACGGACGGTGAATCAAATCATGGATCGTGTGCATTCTAGGGCAGCCAGGCCCTCTACCCCTCAAAAGTCGGTTTGGCACCAGACCCACCTGGGATGATGAAACACTAACTTGTACATAGATTAGTCACAGATATTATTATATATAGTTTTAATTCATTTAGAACGCCACTACGATTCTAAATAGACACAATGCGTCGAGCATTCAC